AAGCTCAGAAGGAAATTCTGGGAGTATGGAAAGTAACACTGAGGCTGGGCGGCTACCGTCCTGCTCATACATAGTCCAGGAAGGCTTCCTGGGGGAGGCAACATCTCAGGAGAGCATGAGGAAGACTCTGATAAGTACTGAGGGGGAGAGATGGGCAAGAGTATGATGAGACAGGAAGCCTGAAGATTAAAGGGGCTGGAGCAGGTCTTGGGGAATCCTGTTCGGGCTTCATCCTGAAGGCCCGGGGAGCCCCTGATAAGTTTCAGGGAGGCAGATCTGTGTGTGTTTGTTCAGGAGGGCATGGGCTGCTGGGTAGAGAAAGGATTGGTGGGCATAAGACAGGAGGTGGGAGGACCAGGTGGAGTGGCCCAAGCGAAGCAGAAGGCTGTATTAGGGCAATAATAGTGGAGGCAGAAGGAGGGGAAGGACTGACGGGCAGTGAGGCCTGCAGGCCCTGTGGACTCAGTACCCAGGGCAGGTGTGCGTGTGTCCTGAGATGGCATGAATGAGGCAGCCAGGGAGCATAGGAGGAGCACCTCCCTCCTCTGGGGCTCCATGGCTTTGGCCATCTCCCCTGATACCCTGATACTGGGTAGCGCTCATGCCTGGTCTCGGACGTGTCCCCATGTCTGTGGGCAGGTGGCACCCAGCACGGTGCCGGGGTGCATGAACCCACTAGGCAGGGCACAGCCTGCAGTTGAGAGCACCGATGCCTCCCTCCAGGGTGCTGGGACTGGAGCCAGGGGGTCACTAAGGCGGAAGCTAAACGTGCCGGCTTCCTGGATCGGCTGACCAGTTACCCAGCATCTGCGTGCCAGCTACTCCTTGTGATGAGAAAGAGAGAACACATGGTCATAGCCCATCCAAAGAGACAGGTCAAATCTACTTAGTTAGGATAATTATCAGGCAGTTCGAATCAGGCCACCGTGGAGGTGGTGTCAGTAGAGCCGCATAGAGGAGGGGCCATTTGAGCTGGGCTTTGAAGGGTGAACAGGAGTTTGCCATGCAGTGAAAGAGGTGGTAGAGGCATCCGAGGCCAAGGAGAGAGCATAGAGCAAAGCACCAAGGCATGAAAGCGTCTAGAGGAGACCAGAGCTGCTACTGTACACTCTACTCCACGGATTCTTTTTGTTTTGGGATTTTTTAAAAAAGATTTTATTTTTTTATTCATGAGAGACACAGAGAGAGAGAGGTAGAGACACAGGCAGAGGGAGAAGCAGGCTCCATGCAGGGAACCCGATGTGGGACTTGATCCCAGGACTCTAGGATCAGGCCCTGGGCTGAAGGCAGGTGCTCAACCGCTGAGCCACCCAGGGATCCCCTACTCCATGGATTGTAGCACATTCCCTCAGCCTCCCTGTCTGTAAAGGCCTGCTGATTGACTCCTAGCAAGCATTGCAGGACACATCCCAGAGGACCCTGGGGAAATGGGGCCCCCTGGATGCCAGCAGTGACCTTGAGAACACACAATATAAAATTAATCTTTTTTTAAGATTTTATTTATTTATTCATGAGAGACGCAGAGAGAGAGAGGCAGAGACACAGGCAGAGGGAGAAGCAGCCTCCACACAAGGAGCCCAATGCGGGACTCGATCCCGGAACCCCGGGATCATGCCCTGAGCCAAAGGCAGACGCTCAACCGCTGAGCCACCCAGGTGCCCCATAATACCATCTTATATTGGCATCTCTTCCTTCCCAGACTCACTACTCACCCCCGTCCCCTCTGTCCCACTCCTACTTGCTGGGATCACTTTCCAAGTAAACCACCTGCACCCAACTTTCTCAGGCTCTGCTTTGCGGAGAATGCAAACTAAGATGAGCCCAGGAGCCCAGGACATTGCTGGAGCCCAGGGCAGGAGGAGTTGGGGTATAGACAACTGCACCACAGAAGATGCATATCTGAATATCTTCGATGGGCCAAACCCTTGACTTGACAAAGGGATGCAGAGCTCTCTGAGAGGGTCCGCGCTCTCCCAGACCTCCGTCCTGGCGGGGAGATGAGACAAGAGGGGTGAGCCACCAGCTCGTGAGGGATCAAAAACGTTCTCTGTCTGCCTTTGGAGCATGTCACGTGGGTTGTGGGCAGCAGATTGATGTTCCTAATTACATTTGGCTCAAGCTGATATTAAGTATTTGTCTCATTCCCAGAGCCCACAATGCCGGCGGATGGTGGGGAAGGTGCCAAGAGCCATGCTGGCGAGCTGAGGCTAACAATCTGGGATTTTAAATATCCATGAGAGATAAAAGTGGACAAGTACAGCCATGGGGGAAGGGTGATTGGTGTTTTGGGGTTGTCCTTTAACGTCTTCCAAGAAGGGCTGGAGGGGCCCCAGAAAGGTCTTGAGGTCCATCTTCCTGTCTCCAAGACTGACCTACCCAGACAATCCAGACGGGGAATGTGACCCACTTCTGATGCAGGACAGCTCGCTGAGGGGAAATGCTTTTGTGAGTCTAATTTAAATTTCTGCTGCTGCACATCCAAGGTTTGTTTGCTTGATTCATTGTTAATGGCATTAAATATTCACTGAGCACCTACTGTTTGCCCAGGGGTACACGGCAAGAGAAACCATGCCCTTGTGCTCGAGACACTTGACAGCTCACCATCTATGCCAACAGAAGCTCATGAAGACAAGACCAGGCACCCGGACCCAAATGCAACAGGGGGAGCAGGGGGGCTGGACTTGTCAGGGACGGGTACAGCAAGGAGATAGGGCCCCTGAGAGGTGGGGGAGTGTTTGGGTTAGTGCATAAACATGAAGAGAGCATTCTAGGCAGGGGAGCGGTGTGGTCAAAGGCATGAGGTCCAACCTGGGAACGGGAAGAGTGTGTACGGAAAAGATGGAGAACAGCATCGACATTTGCTCCCCAGGAGAAACAGTAAGCCATCCAAACTCCTCATGAGTGGAAGCAGGGCTGGCAGCTTACCTGTCCATCTATCTCCCAGAACAAGGGTGAAGCTCAAATAAGGCAGCAGGTTGGGCAGCCCGGGTGGCTCAGCAGTTTAGCGCTGCCTCCAGCCCAGGGCCTGATCCTGGAGACCCAGGATCGAGTCCCACGTCAGGCTCCCTGCATGGAGCCTGCTTCTCCCTCTGCCTGTGTCTCTGCCTCTCTCTCTCTCTCTCTCTCTCTCCCCATCTCTCATGAATAAATAAATAAAATCTTTAAAAAAAAAATAAGGCAGCAGGCATGAGTACACCCTGGAATCCACAGAGCCAAGGCACAGCGTTGTGCTCCATTTAAAAAGACCTCTGTTCCAGTGCCTGCGTGGCTCAGCAGTTGAGTGTCTGTCTTGGGCTCAGGGCCTGATCCTAGGGCCCTGGGATCGAATCCCACATTGGGCTTCCCGGCGGGGGAGCCTGCTTCTCCCTCTACCTATGTCTTTGCCTCTCTCTCTCTCTCTCTCATGAATAAATAAATCATATATATATATATATATATATATATATATATATATATATATAGTCCTGGCTCTGTCACCCTGTGATCTTGGGCAGGTCCCCTCCCCTCTCTGAGTGTGTTCACTCATCAGCAAAATGAAGATGGTAATTCCTGCCTCATACTTTTGCATGTGGGATTACTGGAAAAAAGTGAAAATAAAAATAGCAGGTGGATCCACAAAGCGCTCTACAGATGCTGATTACTTGGCCAGGGGACTCCGTGCGCTCCCTGAAGGCAGGTAACTGATCTCCCCTCTTCCTCCAGCACCTTCCACAGAGCAGGTGTCCACACACCACCTGGTCCATTTGGTTTAGTTCACTGCTTTGTGCAGTCGCGGTGGAGCAGGAAGCCAGCATTTCCGGGCTTGCAGAGGGGGTGCCCCCCCTCCCCAAAGATCCCTCAGCCTCGGTTTCCACTAATCCCTCCTCTTCTGAGTCTCAGCGGTTCAGTATCTGCCAAAACCGGTTCTGCTCAGGTGCTCAGGAAGGAGGAGACCTGCGGGGTCACCTTCAGGTGGTTGCCTCTCAAGTCCAGGAGCAGCTCCCCTGTGTGTGTACACACACACACACACACACACACACACACACACACACACACACACGATGTGACCCGGGTCAGGAGTCGTGCACCGACAGGTCACACCCATGCTCCTCCAGGCAGCGCTGCACCCAAGCGCAGTGTGCACACCTAGGGCACGGATCGGCCGCTTTTGCACCAAGGGGCTCCGCAGAGAGCAGAGAGCGCGAGGCGACGTGGACAGAGCGGGCGCCAGGAGAACGGCCCGGCCCGGCGGGGTGCGCCTGCCCAAGTCGCTGGGCGCGCGCGGCCTCAGAGTCTTTCCCTGTGAATTGGCCACGGAGCCCGCGGGCCCAGCCCCCCGCGGCGGGAGTTAGGCTCCGGGACTGCAGGCGCAACCCCCCCACCCCCCCCACCCCCCGCCACCCCGCGCGCGGTCGGACGAGGCAGGGCCTGAGGCCGCCACGCCCCTCTCCGGCCCGGGCCGACGTCGCCAACCTCCAGGGGGCGAGCCCGGCGGGCTCCTCGGCCCACGCGGCGCCCCGGCCGTCCAGCGCAGGACTTCAGCCGCGTCCCCGGGCCCCCGAGCGCCGCGGTGGCCGCGCGCGCCCGCAGCCGGCAGGTGCCAGGACAGGGCCTCGCCGGGACGCGTGGCATCCGCGGGCGCGAGGGGGTTAAGGCCGCGGGCCTGGGCGCCGGGCCGGGGCTCCGGGAGCTGCGGTGCCCGGAGAAGGGCTAGCGAGCCCGGGGCGCGGGGCAGGGCAGCCCGCGGGCGTGCGCTTCCTCCCCCTCCTCCTCCTCCCCCTCCTCCCCTCTTCCTCCCCCTCCTCCCCCTCCTCCTCCTCTTCCTCCTCCCCCTCCTCCCCTCTTCTTCCCCCTCTTCCTCCTCCTCCCCCTCCTCCTCCTCTTCCTCCTCCCCCCTCCCCCCTCCTCCCCTCTTCTTCCCCCTCCTCCTCCTCCTCTTCCTCCTCCCCCCTCCCCCTCCTCCCCCTCCTCCTCCTCCCTCCGCCTCCTCCTTTGTAGCGAGTTCCCGGCCCCCCTTCCTCCCCCCGCCCCCCAGCCTGGGCCCTCTCCCCCTCTCCCTTTCTTCCTGCCTCGCCTTCCTGCGGCGAAGGAGGCTCATCTATTATAAATGCACATTCGGGGCTGACATCAGCGGAGCGGCGGGAGAGCGCCGACGAGCGGCCCCTGCGCGCTGCCCGCCCGGAGCGCGGCCCCCAGGCTCAGCCGAGCGGCCCGCGGGGCTGGGGCGCGGGGCACGGGGAGCGCGCCCAGGGCTGCCCGCGCCGCGCCCGGCCGCCTCCCGCCTCCCGCCGCCGCCCCCGCACCGCCCCGGACTTCCTGCATGACTGTCACAAAGGTAAGCGCCGCTCGCCCGCCCGCCGCGCCCGGGACCCGGCCCCCGGCCCCCGGCCCCCGGCCCCCGGGACCCGGACCCGCCGGCGCCTGCAGCCCCCGGGCTGGGCGGCGGGGGGCGCGGGGGTGTGGGCGCGGGGAGGGGGCCCGGGCCCGGGGAGGGGCGGCGCGCGCCTCCTGGGTGCCCCCGGGCCCTCGGGTCGCTCGCGCCCCCGGGACTGCGGAGGGAAGGGGGAGGATTGGCCCACATCCCTCCGCGCCGGCCCGCCCCGCGCCTGCATTTTTAACCCTTGTTTGGGGGAGCTGCATTTTTAACCCCTGGAGAGCAGTGTGGGGCAGCTGCGCGGCGTCCCCCGTCGGAGCGCGCCGCGGGGAGCGCCGCCCGCAGCACAGTGGATGGGGGAATGGGCTTGTCGCCCCGGGGAGCCGCCGCACCTGCCGGCCTCCGCCGCCCACCCCACGAACTCCGGCCCCACTCCGGAGCTGCTCCCCGGGGGAGGCGCTCCCCCAGCCCAGGAGCTGCTGCCACCAGGGATAGGACAGCCCCCGTGGTGACCTGCTCCGAGATATGGGGAGGGAATGTGACAGGCAAGGGGGAGATGCGCATTCCCGCAGCCAGAGTTCTTGGGCTCTGGCACGGGGGCCCGGGTTTATTGGAGACACTTTGAGGGAACACTCTCTGCTATGGAAAGCAGACCGAGGTAGCTGCGCAAAGTGCCCGGCGTTAGGAGACCTGAGTTCACTCCCCAGCTCTACCCCAAACCCCGCGGGTGACCTTGGCTGGGCCCTTCCTCTCGTGGAATATGAGGATGAGAACATGGGTCCTGGGGATGGTGACAGTTGGAGAACCAGTAAGAAGATCCAAGGTGGTGAACCCACACTTTTCAGAGGGCTCTGTTAGGGTAAGGAGTTCACGGCCTGGTCCATGATCCTTGGGGGTCCACACACCCAAGGCCAGATTCCAACAGCTGCCCACCTGGCTCTTGGAACTGGAGAGTTGGAGGCTGGTGGGGAGAGGGCAGCTTGCTTGTGGTCAGAGCAGTGGACCAGATGGAGGGTCAGCTATGGAGGTGATGGGAGGGGTGGTTCTGGTTCCTCCTGATAAGCCAGGGGCTACCAGTCCCCCACCGGGAGATTTGCCTGCCATCAGACAACGTGTCTGACCCGGGTCTTGGGCTCAGTGCCAGAATTGGGACTTAGGGGCGTTTTGGGAGAATGTGCCTGGGGGCTGAGGGTCTGCCTCAGTTTTAACTACTACTGGCAGAGCTGCTGTGGCCCACAGTGGGGAGGATGCTCAGTGTTTTGAAATGATGCAAATGCTCTTTGGCTGGGGAGGATTATTATCGTTAAGGTTATTAACGTCAAAGACGCAAGCAGGCCGAGGCAGAAGAGTAATGGATGGGCCTGGATGAGAGATAAAGCATACGAGATTTGTAGTAATAGCACTTAGGTTTGACTCAATGTCTCCCCTGTGTCTCTTTATGCACATGAGCTCAGGCAGCCTTGCTTCCCAGAAGGCCTGCAAGGAAGGTGTGTTCGGTCCCCCTTAAAAGAGGAGGAAGCTGAGGCTCAGAGAGGTAGAGGGACTTGCCTAAGGTCACACAGCAAGTAAGTAGCAGAGCTGGAGTTTGCCCCCAGATCTGTCTCAACCTATGGCCTGTGATCTTTGCAGTGCTCTGCACTATGGAGTACCCCAGTGACTGGGTTATTCCCATGAGAGGGGGTCACTGCTTGGAGGCTCAGGCCCTGAGTGGAGAGAGCCCACGAGGGTCAGTACTCGTCTACCAAATTCATTGACAGGCTGGCCTCTTGATATCTAGTGATTACTCCCTAATGCCCTCCCCTTGGCCCCCATCCCCTACCAAGCCCTTCTGTATGTCCCGCCTGTCCTAACCAATGTGGCATCAGTTTAAGCCAGCTCAGAGGATTAAATAAAATCCCTACCTTAACCCTAGCTTCTCTCCCCTTGCCAGGCCTTCCCAGACCGGCAGTGTGCATCACGGGGAGGCCTAGAAGAGCAAAAGAAATGCAGGAGAGGGCCTGGGGGCCCTCCCGCTGCCTGAAAGCCGGCTGGAAGAAGCTTCTCCATGAGTCCTAAGGAGAACCACAGTGATCTGGGAGTCTGAAGGCCAGGCCTCTGGTCCTCAACCAGCCAGGAATAGGTTGTGTGACCTTGGACTAGTCACTTCCATCCTCTGTTTTCCCATCTGTGAGGTGCAGCAATTGGTTTCCTTGATGTGTTGGGTCCCTTCTGTTGGGCCTTGGCTCAGCTCTGCAAGGAAGTTGGCTCTGATGGAGACATAACTTTCTGTTCTGGAATAGGGGTTGGTCTAGTTACAAGACAGATATGAAGGGGAGCCCTGAAGGGGGAACTGGGAGGTGGAGTGACAGGTAGTGGAGAGCAAGGTTAGAGGGTGAGACCCCAGTCCTTGCTGCTGCTCCTCACCCCTTTCTGGTGACCCCCAGCTGCCTGCCCCCTTAGGGTCCTCTGGGCCAGGGTCCATTGTGGGTTGCATGGAGGTTCTTGTTAGCTCAGAGGGCCTGGAAAGTGGAGAAGAGGAAATCTGATGACAAGCTGCTAGATCTTCAGTAGCACTTCCTGAGAATACATGGGTCTCCAGTTTCTATTTACCATCTCCCGCCTCTCGTGCACGTACCCCAGCCCCCTTCCTTGTGAGGCACAGCTTCTAAAGTCCCACATAAAGCCTGGGCTCAACAGCACTGGAGATAAAGAGCAGTGCAGGTCTCTTCCTGGAGTGGAACCTTCCAGCCAGATGCCATGACTCCTGGGTGTGACGCTTTAAACTCTTGCTTTATTGTGTGTAATTTCATAAGCTGTCTTAGTTTCTTTATGTAACGAGGAGGAGAAGAAAGAGAGAAGAAGGGATGCAGCTGCCCAGACCATACACATCCACAGGAGGTTAAGGCCCCACCTCCTCCTCCCAGTTTCAATCCAGTATCCGTCCAGAGGGCAAGTGAGGGCTGAGGGAGCAAAGGCTGCTTTCTCAGGAACAGGGTGCTTTGATTCTTCGAGCCCTTCTGCTCGCTCTCTACACGTTTTCTCTCTCTCTCTACGCCATTTCAGCCATATGCCAGACTACCAGCACTTCTCTGCTTCTGAATATGTTTCTAAACTGCCATGAGCTACGAAAACAGAACAAAATGCATTAGAATTGTGTGTAGAGTACAAGTCAATAGGCTATAAGAAAAGTCTGCCCACTATAATGCAGGACTGCAGGCATCTGCAAACTCCTTTTGCTGCTTTGAGGTCCTTCAGGGTGACTTCATGGCTTTTGTCTGGATGCGGCCAGAGGTGGGGACCAGAGGTGGGGCTCGTAAGTAAGGAAGGTGATGGCCTTCAGTGACTGGGCTGCCTTGTTCTCAGGTGTGCCTTGTTACATTAGATGCCAGCTGAGCGCTTTCCGCGGTCCCAAGGCCAGCTCAGGGGGTCAGCAGCCCAGGAACAGTACCCTGAGCAACCTGTGGGAATGCCCGTGGTGCCTCAGGTCTTAAGAGAAGGAGTGTGGGCCACCAGTTCCAGATTCACAAGTGGCATCATCAATTGCGCCCTGGCACCTCCCGCTGCACGTCAACCTTTGCTCTCCTGCCGCTGGCCCAGCAGAGCCCCGCTCGTCGCATAGGAACCTCTGGCTCCTGCTAAGTGTGATGGGACAGAGGACAGTGTTGCCTTGTCCAGGTCGTCACTAACAGGCTTCGGCTTGGCGAGGTCACCTAAGAGCGGCCTCAGGGAATAAGACGTTTGAGTCAAAAAATCCAGATCTCTCTCTTGACAAATAATGGATCTGAGACCCAGAAAATGAGCCATGACTTACCGAAAGTCCCTCAGCAAGTTTGATGCCAGAGGGTCCAGAACCTGGGTCCTCCTCACTCCCAGTCAGTGCTCCTGCCACCTGGCTGTCCTGCGAGGGGGACCTCAGGCAGCCTGCGCAGGGACAGGGGTTTGGGGTCCACTCCAGTTACCCTACTGGACCCCTGGTGTCAGAGTTGCCCTCTGCTGGGCAGCCCTCTTCTCTTGTTGAAAAAGCATCGGCGGAGGAGTGGGGGGGCACCTGGGTGGCTCAGCGGTTGAGCATCTGCCTTCTTTCAGGTCATGATCCCCTGGGATCATGTCCCGCATCAGGCTCCTTACAGGGACCCTGCATCTCCCTCTGCCTGTGTCCCTGCCTCTCTGTGTGTGTCCTTCATGAATAAATAAATAAAATCTTAAAAAAAATAAAAAGAAAAGAAAAAACACAGGGCTAAGGCGTAGAGGAGCCCTTGCTACACCCAGAGTCGGGATAGGAAGGAAGGGGTACGAAGCCCTTCTGGCTCCAACTCCCGGACATCCAGGACCTGGCCCACCCAGGAGATGCCTGGACTCCCAGACATTCCACTTCCCAGCACCTCTTTCCTGTCTGGCTCTTACTGGGAGAAGAGATGAGCGAGCAAGCCTATGACAGAGCCAGTTCAAGGGCGGAGACGTTACCACACAGACCCAACTTCCAGAAACCTGAAGGGGGGGGGGGTGCTTCTGCTGCCTTCTCTGCTGTGTGCACCCTTTCTACCTCCTCCCTCCACTCCGTTCTTCCTCCGGATACCCAGCATTCTCATGCAGAAGGTATGTGGCTAAAATTCACGGACTCTAGGGCCAGCGCCCTCCGAGCTCCTACTCATAGCCAGGCCGTGTGTTAGGCATTAGGGCCACAGAACGCCGAAGCCACAGCCCCTGCTGTCCAGATGAGGGAGGAGATGTGCCAAAGTCCTGAGTTAAGAGTCTCAAGGTCCAGGGGGCACAAGCCAGGAGAGGTCTGTCTTCTCCACACTGTAAGTGCTCAAAACTTCGAGATCCTTCCTTCCATACTGTCTTTCCCTCTCGAAGAACTCTGATGAGTTACTTTCTTCCCAGATGTGCCCCCGCTGCCCTGTGTTCTCTTGGCCTGGGGGCCTTGCCACCTAAGCGCCTATGGCAGCAGGCAGAGGCGTCTGGGAAGGACTGCGAGGCTC